ATCGTGAACCCCCTGAGAGAGAGAGACACCCAGACCCAGGGCTTGAACCCAGACACTCAGTGTCTCTGAAACGGCCATCGTGAACCCCCTGAGAGACACAGAGAGACACTCAGACCCAGGGCTTGAACCCAAACTCAGTGTCTCTGACACGGCCATCGTGAACCCCCTAAGAGAGAGAGAGACACCCAGACCCAGGGCTTAAACCCAGACTCTCAGTGTCTCTGACATGGCCATAGTGAACCCCCTGAGAAAGAGAGAGAGACACCCAGACCCAGGGCTCGAACCCAGACTCTCAGTGTCTCTCACACGGCCATCGTGAACCCCATGAGAGAGAGAGACACCCAGACCCAGGGCTCGAACCCAGACTCTCAGTGTCTCTGACACGGCCATCGTGAAGTGTTCTGACCACACGAGCAGCATGCTCGGGTTAAAGTGAGAACACGAACACCCCCTTCTGTGTCATCTCAACACTCTCACACACACACACACTGGCAGCACGCGTGAGTTAAAAAATAGTCTGGGTGTGTGTGCGCGTGTGTGTACGCCTGTGTGTGTGTGTATGCCTGTGCGTGTGTGTGTGTGTTTGAGTACGTGTGTGTGTGCATGCCTGCACGTAGGTGGGTGTGTGTGAGGGTGTCTTTGAGTGCGTGTGTGTGTGTGCATGCCTGTACGTGTGTGTGTTTGTGTTTGAGTGCGTGTGTGTGTGTATGCCTGTACGTGTGTGTGTTTGTGTGTGTGTGTTGAGTGTGTGTGTGTGTGCATGCCTGCACGTAGCTGGGTGTGTGTGAGTGTGTGTACCCATGTGTGTGTGGGTTTGTGTGTTTGAGTGTGTGTGTGTGTGCATGCCTGCACGTACGTGTGTGTGAATGTGTGTGTACGCCTGTGTGTGTGTGAGAGTTTGTGTGTTCGAGTGTGTGTGTGTGCATGCCTGCATGTATGTGTGTGTGAGTGTGTGTTTACGCCTGTGTGTGTGGGTTTGTGTGTGTGTGTTTAAGTGTGTGTGTGTGCATGCCTGCATGTACGTGTGTGAGTGTGTGTACACATGTGTGTGTGGGTTTGTGTGTGTGTGAGAGTTGTGTTTGAGTGTATGTGTGTGTGCATGCCTGCATGTACGTGTGTGAGTGTGTGTACGCCTGTGTGTGCGAGTTTTTGTGGGAGTGTTTTAGAGTGTGTGTGTACGTGTGTGTGTGTGTGTGCGTGTGGGGAGCGGTGGTGCAGCGGTTAGCGCTAAGCTGCGCTACGAACCGGCGACCGAGTTCGATTCCCGCTCACGGCCACCAACACCACCAGTGACCGGTCCTGGGCCTCCCCTAGGTCGACTCAGCCTCAAATGAGTACCTGGTGCGGTGTGTAGTAAACATTGCCACTGGGGAGACAAAGGCGGCCGGGCGTGGTGCTGGCCACCCACCCCCTCGTGTGCCGTGCCGGCCTTCATAGGTGCTCGCTAACAGCACTTGCCCCAACAGTCTGTTAAAGCTACACGGTGTGTCTTTGTTTTCAGTGAGATGTTCACTACCTCGCCTGCTATGCAAGAGGTCGTGAGTTCGACCCCGACCCTAACGCCTGCTGCTGCTGCTGTATATTTAGAGTCTGCGTCTCTCTCTCTCGCCGTGGTCGCGTGGAATTTCCTCCGGGATCCCTCCGGTTTTCCCCTTGACATTTAAAATTCAACGTCACGCGCTCGGAGTATTTGCACTGCTGCTATACTGCTCCTAGTAGTGTGTGTGTGGGAGAGGCTGCCACTTCTCTGTCGGGAGCTGGACCGGTACCGCCTGGATCTTTGCAGTATTCAGGAGCAGTGGCGGCTCCTGCAAAATCACTCAGGGGGGGCAAATGTCTGGATGATTGATAAGGATAAGGTCCACCCATGCAATGAATAAATTAACAGCTTAAGCATGTAAAGGCAACTTCACTTCTTTAATATTAATGAAAAATAAAGTGACTCTTACAATACATCTTGTTTGTTTATATACTCACTATTAAAACAAACCACTCAAGTTTATTTTATTAAAGATTCCACTAGGTAGCGATAAATTATATTGTTGGATGATGACGTTACACGTATGATGACGTAAGCACGTTAGGGCTTGCCCTCCCGGAAGCCATAGAGAATGCATTGGAGCGCCCCCGTTCGAAAAAAAACATCTTTGAATGTAAGTCTATGGGGCCACTCGGGGCGATTCTCAGCCGGAGTGAAATCGCCCAAAAAGAGGCGGTACTCCACAGAACGTAGCATGACGCTGATTGGACTATATCCAGAGGCTGCAGTGACGGCTAGCGTGACTCTGTGGTTGAATGACATTGGTGGTGCGTCGCCCAATCGCCCTAATGAAGAAACCGCCCCTGTTCAGGAGGTCCGGTGGACCGGCTCTGGCTCCTGCCACCATGAGGGGTGGACAGTCCTCAACCCGGGGCAGGAGACTGCCAAACAACAGGGAGTGGCTCTTCTTCTGAACAAGAGAATGAAGGGGGCGTGGGAGCGCGGCGGTGAGATGTGGCTCACCTCCCCATCGACGAGAGGCGAGGAATGGTGGTGGTGGTGTTGGTGGTGCCTGACGCCCCACACCGAAGATGAACATCGGTGGAGGGATGCCAGGCAATGCCGATGATGAAGCAAAGGTCGAGGCGGTGGTGGCCGCGGGTTGCCGAGGGGGTGGAGGCTGCCCCAGTCGCTCGCGGTCACGAATCGCCCTGTAGCTGCACCAACATGGCGACCTACAACAAGGGAAAGAGCCGCGCCGCGACCTCTGACCCCGCGGGAATCCATTTTGCCGGGCGGTCGTCTGAGGTCCAGGATAACGTCACGGGTTGCCAGCTTGCCGGGCCCGTGGCGCCTCAAGTATTTGAGAAAGTAGCCCGCTGCCTGCGAGCGAGCGGGAGGGGTTCACGATGGCCGTGTCAGAGACACTGAGAGCCTGGGTTCAAGCCCTGGGTCTGGGTGTCTCTCTCTCTCAGGGGGTTCACGATGGCCGTGTCAGAGACACTGAGAGTCTGGGTTCAAGCCCTGGGTCTGGGTGTCTCTCTCTCAGGGGGTTCACAATGGCCGTGTCAGAGACACTGAGAGTCTGGGTTCTAGCCCTGGGTCTGGGTGTCTCTCTCTCTCAGGGGGTTCACGATGGCCGTGTCAGAGACACTGAGAGCCTGGGTTCAAGCCCTGGGTCTGGGTGTCTCTCTCAGGGGGTTCACGATGGCCGTGTCAGAGACACTGAGAGTCTGGGTTCAAGCCCTGGGTCTGGGTGTCTCTCTCTCTCAGGGGGTTCACGATGGCCGTGTCAGAGACACTGAGAGTCTGGGTTCAAGCCCTGGGTCTGGGTGTCTCTCTCTCTCAGGGGGTTCACGATGGCCGTGTCAGAGACACTGAGAGCCTGGGTTCAAGCCCTGGGTCTGGGTGTCTCTCTCTCTCTCTCTCAGGGGGTTCACGATGGCCGTGTGAGAGACACTGAGAGTCTGGGTTCAAGCCCGGGGTCTGGGTGTCTCTCTCTCTTTCAGGGGGTTCACGATGGCCGTGTCAGAGACACTGAGAGCCTGGGTTCAAGCCCTGGGTCTGGGTGTCTCTCTCTCTCTCTCTCTCAGGGGGTTCACGATGGCCGTGTGAGAGACACTGAGAGTCTGGGTTCAAGCCCGGGGTCTGGGTGTCTCTCTCTCTTTCAGGGGGTTCACGATGGCCGTGTCAGAGACACTGAGAGGCTGGGTTCAAGCCCGGGGTCTGGGTATCTCTCTCTCAGGGGGAGCGTGAGTGGGTGGGTGGGTAGGCTGGTGGAGGCGCCATCTGTTGAGAAAGGTCCGAGACCAGGAAAAGCGCCGGGCGGAGATGATCTCCCAAGCGAACTGCCCTGGGAGGGTGGCGTCTGTGCACAGACTGCCCTACGTGGCATCGTCACAACAGTGTGGACCGCTGGACGGGTTCCGCAGGATTGGAATGGTGCCCTGGTTGGGTTCCCCCTGTTTAAGAAAGGGGGACCTACAGACTGTAACAACTACAGGGGCATTTCACTCCTCCTCAGTGTGAGGCCGGGAAAGGTCCTGGCAAGGATTATTCAACATCGCCTTGCCAGGCACGCTGAGGAGAGGCTTGCGGAGCCCCAATGCGGTTTCAGAAAAGGACGTTCCTGCCCAGATGCCATATTTTCTGTCCGTCTGCTACAGCAGAGGTGTAGGGAATTCCAACAAGACCTACATCTCTGCTTTATTGACCTGGTCAAGGCCTATGATACCATCAGTAGGCCTGGGCTCTGGGTTGTTCTTCGTGCTTTCAGAGTCCCTGACCCTCTGCTCACGATCATTAAGGACACTTCATGATGGTGAGCGGGCCCGGGTGAAACTACGTGGCCGGGAGTCGGAGCCATTCCCTGTACACCTTGGGGTGCGGCAGGGATGTCCACATCACACTCACCCTACCCCCATCACCTCGCCCCCATCACACTACCCCCATCACACTACCTCCTCCCAGCCCCTCTCCCAGCCCCTCCCTCTCCCAGCCCCTCCCCTCTCCCAGCCCCTCCCTCTCCCAGCCCCTCCTCCTCCCAGCCCCTCCCTCTCCCAGCCCCTCCCTCTCCCAGCCCATCCCCCTCCCAGCCCATCCCCCTCCCAGCCCCTCCCCCTCCCAGCCCCTCCCTCTCCCAGTCCCTCCCCCTCCCAGCCCCTCCCCCTCCCAGCCCCTCCCTCTCCCAGCCCCTCCCCCTCCCAGCCCATCCCCCTCCCAGCCCCTCCCCCTCCCAGCCCCTCCCTCTCCCAGCCCCTCCCCCTCCCAGCCCCTCCCCCTCCCAGCCCCTCCCCCTCCCAGCCCCTCCCTCTCCCAGCCCCTCCCCCTCCCAGCCCATCCCCCTCCCAGCCCCTCCCCCTCCCAGCCCCTCCCTCTCCCAGCCCCTCCCCCTCCCAGCCCCTCCCCCTCCCAGCCCCTCCCTCTCCCAGCCCCTCCCCCTCCCAGCCCCTCCCCCTCCCAGCCCCTCCCCCTCCCAGCCCCTCCCCCGCGTGACGCGTGCCTATAAACGCGGAAGAGAGGCGCTGTGGCAGCTTCCCTCTTCACTCGCGGTGCCACCAGCGGCATCAGCAGCAACATCAGCAGCGGCATCATCAGCAGCGGCAGCAGCAGCAGCGGCAGCATCAGCAGCATCATCAGCAGCGGCAGTGGCATCAGCGGCAGTGGCATCAGCGGCAGCATCAGCAGCAGCGGCGGCAGTGGCATCACCCGCACTCCACACACTGTACCAGTGACACACACATCACACGTGTCCGCACTGTACCAGTGACACACTGCATGCACACACACACACACTGACACCTACACACACACACTGTGACACCTACACACACACACACTGTGACACCTACACACACACACACCGTGACCCCAACACACACACACACACACCGTGACCCCAACACACACACACACACTGTGACACACACACTGTGACACCTACACACACACACACTGTGACACCTACACACACACACACCGTGACCCCAACACACACACACACACCGTGACCCCAACACACGCACAGAGAGAGACAACGCGATACAAGAAAGGACACCATGGCTGGTGAGTGACTTGGATCTGTGTGTGATCTGTTGAAGGGTCTTGCCCCGAAACGTCGCCTGTTTATATCATGTAAGATCAACACACGCGGTGTCACTTACGAGCGTGTTGGGATTTAGTGTTATTTGTGGGGTGAGTGGGTGGGTTTGTGGGTGGCTGAATTGGTGGGTGGGTTGGTGGGTTTGGGTGGGTTTGGGTGGGTGGGTGGGTTTGAGTGGGTTGGAGGGTGAGTGGGTTGGTGGGTGAGTGGGTTGGTGGGTGAGTGGGTTGGAGGGTGAGTGGGTTGGAGGGTGAGTGGGTTGGTGGGTGAGTGGGTTGGTGGGTGGGTTGGTTGGTGGGTGGGTGAATTGGTGGGTGGGTGAATTGGTGGGTGGGTGAATTGGTGGCTGGGTTAGTGGGTGGGTTGGTGAATTGGTGGGTGGGTTGGTGGGTGAGTGGGTTTGTGGGTGGGTGAATTGGTGGGTGGGTGAGGGGGTTTGTGGGTGGGTGAATTTGTGGGTGAGTGGGTGGGTTGGTGAATTGGTGGGTGGGTTGGTGCATTGGTGGGTGGGTTGGTGGGTGATTTGGTGGGTGGGTTGGTGAATTGGTGGGAGCGAGGTGGGTGGGTGAGTTGGTGCTATGAAGAAGGGTCATAGCCCGAAACGTCGCCTGGTGTGTATCTCGTATACACAGCACATGTAATGGTCCATTCAGGAGCAAAGTTGTATTGGTTTGTGTTATTTGTAAGTGGGTGTGTGAGTGACTGGGTGTGTGAGTGAGTGTGTGAGTAGGTGTGTGAGTAGGTGTGTGAGTGACTGGGTGAGTGACTGTGAGTGACTGGGTGACTGGGTGAGTGACTGTGTGAGTGAGAGTGTGAGTGAGAGTGTGAGGGACTGGGTGAGTGAGAGTGTGAGTGAGTGTGAATGTGTGTGACTATGTATGTGAGTGAGTGTGAGGTGGGTGTTGTGAGTGAGTGACTGGGTGAGTGAGTGACTGGGTCAGTGTGGGTGACTGGGTGTGACTATGTATGTGAGTGTGTGAGTGAGTTACTATGTGAGTGTGTGAGTGAGTTACTATGTGAGTGTGTGAGTGAGTTACTATGTGAGTGTGTGAGTGAGTTACTATGTGAGTGTGTGTGAGTTACTATGTGAGTGAGTGAGTGAGTATGTGAGTGTGTGAGTGAGTGTGTGACTATGTGAGTGAGTGTGTGAGTGAGTTACTATGCGAGTGTGTGAGTGAGTTACTATGTGAGTGAGTGAGTGACTATGTGAGTGTGTGAGTGAGTGTGTGACTATGTATGTGAGTGTGTGAGTGAGTTACTATGTGAGTGTGTGAGTGAGTTACTATGTGAGTGTGTGTGTGTGAGTTACTATGTGAGTGAGTGACTATGTGAGTGTGTGAGTGAGTGACTATGTGAGTGTGTGAGTGAGTTACTATGCGAGTGTGTGAGTGAGTGACTATGTGAGTGTGTGAGTGAGTGAGTTACTATGTGAGTGAGTGTGTGAGTGACTATGTGAGTGTGTGAGTGAGTTACTATGCGAGTGTGTGAGTGAGTGACTATGTGAGTGTGTGAGTGAGTGAGTTACTATATGAGTGAGTGAGTTACTATGTGAGTGAGTGTGTGAGTGAGTTACTATGTGAGTGTGTGAGTGAGTTACTATGTGAGTGTGTGTGTGAGTGAGTGTGGGTGTGTACCACTTCGTAGGACGATTACCAAAAACATCGTCCACCACATTAGTTCCTCATGTCCTGCACAAAGACAAAGCCTCCCCGTGTAGCTTCTAACAGGCTGCAGGGGCAAGTGCTGTTAGTAGCGAGTAGCAGCAGCGCCTATGAAGGCTACCGGCACTGTGGCACACGAGGGGGTGGGTGGTCAGCGCCACGCCCGGCCGCCTTTGTCTCCCCAGTGGCGATATTTACTACACATCGCACTAGGTTCTCATTTGAGGCTGAGTCGACCTAGGGGAGGCCCAGGACCGGTTCAGATAATCGTCACTGGTGTTGGTGGCCGTGAGCGGGAATCGAACTCGGGTCGCCGGGTTCGTAGCGCATCGTAGCGCTAACCACTGCACCACCGCTCACCACACACACACACACACGTGTACACACACTGACACACACACGTGTACACACACGACACACAGACAGACACACAGACAGACAGAGACACTGACACACGGGGCACACAGACAGACAGACAGACACACACAGACAGACAGACACACACAGACAGACAGACACACACAGACAGACAGACACACACAGACAGACAGACACACACAGACAGACAGACACACACAGACAGACAGACACACACACACTGACACACACACACTGACACACACACACTGACACACACACACTGACACACACACACACTGACACACACACACAGTGACACACACACACTGACACACACACAGTGACACACACACAGTGACACACACACACACACTGACACACACACAGTGACACACACACAGTGACACACACACACACAGTGACACACACACACACAGTGACACCACACACAGTGACAACACACACACACACAGTGACACACACACACAGTGACACACACAGTGACACACACACACACAGTGACACACACACACAGTGACACACACAGTGACACACACACACTGACACACACAGACAGACACACACAGACAGACAGACACACACACACTGACACACACACACTGACACTCACTCCCAGCGCGAGACCGACTCATTACATCCCGAGGGGGATTGCTCCTCTGAACAAAATCGTCCCACGGTTCAGTTTGCAAGCGCTGAGTTGGCGGTTAAAGTTGACGTTCATATTTGTTTCGATTTCACGGAAGATAGTAAGTGCGGGTGTTGTATACCTGAAGTTTGCGTGTCTCTCTCTCATCATCATCATCATCACGGTGGCTAGGAGATGTTAACTACCTCGCCTGGCGCACAGGAGGTCGTGGGTTCGATCCCGACCCTGACGACGCCTGCTGCTGTTTATTTGAGGTCTGCGTCTTTCTCATCATCATCATCATCACGGTGGGTATGAGATGTTGACTACCTCGCCTGGTCTGCAGGAGGTCGTGGATTTGCCCCTGGGGTGAGGAGCGGGACTGCGCGTGGCAGAGGGGGGGGTAGCAGACCCACAGACTCGCACAGAGACCCACAGACTCGCACAGAGACCCGTAGACTCGCACAGAGACCCGTAGACTCGCACAGAGACCCGTAGACTCGCACAGAGACCCGTAGACTCGCACAGAGACCCGTAGACTCGCACAGAGACCCGTAGACTCGCACAGAGACCCGTAGACTCGCACAGAGACCCGTAGACTCGCACAGAGACCCGTAGACTCGCACAGAGACCCGTAGACTCGCACAGAGACCCGTAGACTCGCACAGAGACCCGTAGACTCGCACAGAGACCCGTAGACTCGCACAGAGACCCGTAGACTCGCACAGAGACCCGTAGACTCGCACAGAGACCCGTAGACTCGCACAGAGACCCGTAGACTCGCACAGAGACCCGTAGACTCGCACAGAGACCCGTAGACTCGCACAGAGACCCGTAGACTCGCACAGAGACCCGTAGACTCGCACAGAGACCCGTAGACTCGCACAGAGACCCGTAGACTCGCACAGAGACCCGTAGACTCGCACAGAGACCCGTAGACTCGCACAGAGACCCGTAGCGTAGACTCGCACAGAGACCCGTAGACTCGCACAGAGACCCGTAGACTCGCACAGAGACCCGTAGACTCGCACAGAGACCCGTAGACTCGCACAGAGACCCGTAGACTCGCACAGAGACCCGTAGACTCGCACAGAGACCCGTAGACCTCGCACAGAGACCCGTAGACTCGCACAGAGACCCGTAGACTCGCACAGAGACCCGTAGACTCGCACAGAGACCCGTAGACTCGCACAGAGACCCGTAGACTCGCACAGAGACCCGTAGACTCGCACAGAGACCCGTAGACTCGCACAGAGAGACCCGTAGACTCGCACAGAGACCCGTAGACTCGCACAGAGACCCGTAGACTGCGCACAGAGACCCTAGACTCGCACAGAGACCCGTAGACTCGCACAGAGACCCTAGACTCGCACAGAGACCCGCAGACTCGCACAGAGACCCGCAGACTCGCACAGAGACCGTGACTCGCACAGAGACCCGTAGACTCGCACAGAGACCCGTAGACTCGCACAGAGACCCGTAGACTCGCACAGAGACCCGTAGACTCGCACAGAGACCCGTAGACTCGCAGAGACCTATAGACTCACACAGAGACCCATAGACTCACACAGAGACCCATAGACTCTCACACAGACCCATTGATTAGCACCGAGACCCATAGACTCACACACAGAGACCCATTGATTAGCACTGAGACCTATAGACTCGCACACACAGACCCATTGATTAGCACCGAGACCTATAGACTCACACCGAGACCCATTGATGGGCACTGAGACCCATAAACTCACACATAGAGACCCATTGATTAGCACTGAGACCCATAAACTCACACAGACCCATTGATGAGCACTGAGACCCATAAACTCACACATAGAGACCCATTGATTAGCACTGAGACCCATAAAATCACACAGAGACCCATTGATTTGCACTGAGACCCATAAACTCACACAGACCCATTGATTAGCACTGAGACCCATAAACTCACACATAGACCCATTGATTAGCACTGAGACCCATAAACTCACACATAGACCCATTGATTAGCACTGAGACCCATAAACTCACACAGACCCATTGATGAGCACTGAGACCCATAAACTCACACATAGAGACCCATTGATTAGCACTGAGACCCATAAAATCACACAGAGACCCATTGATTTGCACTGAGACCCATAAACTCACACAGACCCATTGATTAGCACTGAGACCCATAAACTCACACATAGACCCATTGATTAGCACTGAGACCCATAAACTCACACAGACCCATTGATTAGCACTGAGACCCATAAACTCACACATAGAGACCCATTGATGAGCACTGAGA